GAAGAATAAAAAAAGAGAAAATTGCCGAGCGAGCCGAAGGCGAGTTCGGCACACAATCAGCTCGTTTCTTCAAAACGAAGATCAACGGCACAGCTGGAGCTCGATTTGTACCGAACTCTCCTTTGCTTCACTAAGTATTGAGTGATATAGAGCTCATTTATTAGATTTCACTGAAGAACAAAAAAAAGAAAGATTGCCGAGCGAGCCGAAGGCGAGTTCGGCACACAATCGGCCTGTTTCTTCAAAACGAAGAGCAGCAGGAGCTCAGCTTGTTCTGAACTCATCTTTGCTTAGCTAGTCATTGATTGATTCGGAACTCATTTATTAGATTTGACTGAAAACCAAAAAAAAAAGAAAATTGCCGAGCGAGCCGAAGGCGAGTTCGGCACACAATCGGCTCGAAGGCGAGTTCGGCACACAATCAGCTCGTTTCTTCAAAACGAAGCATAACAGGAGCTCAATTTGCTTCGAACTCACCTTTGCTTAGCCAGTCATTGATTGATTTGAAGCTCATTTATTAGATTTGACTGAAGACCAAAAAAGGTGTCACTGCCAAAGGTGAGTTCGGCACAGAATCGGCTCGTTTCTTCAAAACGACGCACAATGCCTCAGTAGCAGCTCGCTTTGTAACGAACTCACCTTTGCTTCATTAGTAATAGATTGATTCGGAGCTCATTTACGAGACTCGACTAACACCAAAAAAAAGGTGTCATTCTCGAGCAAGCCGAAAGCAAGTTCGGCACGTAATCGGTTCTTTTCTTCAAAAAGAATTCCAACGGCACCAAAGCGAACTTCCCTTTGCTTCGAAAATCTCAGCAGTTTCAGGAAATTGAAGGAATTGATAATAATTTCGGGAGCAAGCTTCGGAGAATCTGGGAAGAATTTCAGGAGTGGAATTTTAAAATGCGAGGAAAATTTTGGGACAATTTCAACCGGATCCTTCCTTATTATTTGCATTCGATAGATTATGAAGTCAAATAGACCAAGGTCAACAAAACCAAAGTGGACCGTTTTCAAAAAAAGGTAAATCGAGATGTTGGAGGAAGTCCCCATTACAAAGAAGAAATTGTATGGTAATTCCTTTGTTTTTCTGCCCTCGATATCTAATCGGGGCGTGTACAGAAGCAGTTGGCAACTAAGTATCTCCACAACGGACGGCATTCACAAATAATCTTTCGGAATTCAAAGAAAAGCAAATAAGGCTGTTAACGTAAATGCTATACACACAGTAAACATTAATCAACAACCTTGATGGGTTATCAGGAAAGTTCTACAATAATAAATTCGTAATAAATCAAATCCGGTCCTGTATTTTTCAATAAGCGATAAACGGAGAATAACATAAATTTTTATTGAGAGCCGATTCGCCTGGCAGAGCAGCGCCGGTAGTCGCGTTAAGTACATGACGGCGGGTCACAATTTAAAGAAGCGGCTACGTGCAGTGTTAAACCGTGCCCGAATTTCATTTTTGGAACATTTCGTCGGTTAAAGTGGGTGGTGGTTGGTGCGACAAGTACCGTCCGAGTTTTTTTTTTTTTTGGTTGGCCAAGTTTCGTCTAAATATAACTTTATGTTCGCAACTACTGATATCTGCGATTATAACCAAAACAAACATCTGTGTAAATTGAAAAACACAATGTTGGAGAAGTTCAATGCGGATTTCCGAAGACCGAGGCGGGACATCAACTGCAACACGAAGGGCAAAGGAAAAGCCATCGGTGAGTTTTAAAAAATGTAATGGAAATGGTAGCACCGTTCGAGCCATTTGCCTAATCGATATCATCCAATACAGTGTAAAGTTCAATTTCAAAAAAGTTGTGAAACATTTCGAATTCGGCCGCGAGCACTAACGCTTCATTTCTATTGTTGCAGAAATTAGAAAGGAAGAAGTTATGGCCATTAGAAACAGATTCCCTACAAAAATACCAGTAAGTACTAAGAACCCACGCGTTTGTGCCTCTAAATTTTCCTCGAGTTTTTGAAAAATGAACTATTTCAAAACGGTTAGTAAGCGTCATCTGTCGATTTTCTAAAGTTACACAACACTCTAGATATTTTGTTTGGGCAAAACTGACTGAAACAGGATCAATTTTGAAATTGCCCACGGTTTTTTGAAAAAACCCATTTTCGTCACTTTTGCTTCTGGATTTGCGCGAACTTTCTCGAAAAAGTATTAGAAATACAAAACAATCGACCAAGTCGAGCTGGAAGAGTACATTTTCGTTGAAAAGCGTACCATCTTGTATCACCATGGACAATGTTTTTTTTTGTTTACCGCGTGTTTTCGGTAGATTCGATTTGTTCGTCCACATATACTCAATTGAACATTGAAAACAAAACTGTTAATAAGCTTAAAAAACGGTTCACGGTTACATATTTTGAAATACCTGTACCCACATTCCTATTTTTTTTTTATAGTAACTTCGTGCTGCAAATTTTAGTATAGGCAAATAGCGTACGTACGATTAGCGGTAGGCAATAACTCACCTTTTTTTCTATTTCAGACAGTATACGCCAACATATGCGCAGTTTTAAATGTTGCGTTCATTACAAAAAAGATAATTAAAGTCTTGTAGCCAATGACGTTAGATTTCCACGTAAAGTCAAAGGTTTTTCTAAATCAGGACAGTAAGGCGATTATGCGCTTTTTAAAATAAAAATTTGCGCCCATTAGGAAAATAACAAGAGCGTAGATCCAGTAAAGTCAATTGGCGGCAGATTTCCATTTTAACCTCACCTTTTTTTAGACAATACGCGCGAAACATTGCGTAGTTAAATTTTGCGCCCTTAACAAGAAAAGAAATTGAAGCTTCGAAATCAGACAATAAGCGCAAATTATTGCGCCTTGGAAATATTGCGCCATTAATAATAAATAACAAAAGCACGTAAATCCGGTAAAAGTCCATTGGCGTTAGATGTTTCGTTTGTTAACTCAGCTTTTCCTTTTTCAAACACATTGCCCAAAGTATGCGCAGGTTTAAATTTTGTGCCCATAAAAACAAGAAAAAAGAATTGAAGTTTCGAAAGCAGCAGAAGCGCGAATTATGCGCCTTGGAAATATTTGCCCCCATTATATAAATAACAAAATCGTAAATCCGGTAAAGTCCATTTGGCGGTAGATTTCCATTTTAACTCAGCTTTTCTTTTTTCAAACACATTCGCAAAGTATGCGCAGTTTTTAAATTTTGCGGCCCATGAACATAAAAAAGTAATTATAGGGTAGCCAATGGACGTAACTTCCACGTAAAATCAAGATGTTTCTAATCAGACAGTAAGCGCGAATTATGCGCCTTGAATCAAGTTTGCGCCCATTACATAAATTAACAATACGTAAATCCAGGTTTAAAGTCAATTGGCGTAGATTTCCATTTTGACTCAGCTTTTCTTTTTCAAACCATGCGCAAAGTATGCACCGTTTTTAAATTTGCGCCCTATTAACAAGAAAAGAGAATTGAAGTATATCGAAATCAGGACAGTAGCGGAATTATGCGCCTTGGAAATATTTTGCGGCCCTTATAATAAAAATAACAAATCGTAAATCCGGTAAAGCCCATGTTGGCGTACATTTCCGTTTTTAACTCAGCTTTTCCTTTTTCAGACAGCATTCGGCAAAGAATGCGCAGTTTTAAATTTTGCGCCCATTAATAAGAAAAGAGAATTGAAGTTTCGAAATCAGACAATAGGCGCAAATTATGCGCCTTGGAAATATTTGCACCCATTATAATAAATAACAAAAGCGAAAATCCCGTCAAGTCCATTGGCGTAGATTTCCATTTTAACTCAGCTTTTTCTTTTTTAAACACCATTCGCAAAGTATGCGCAGTTTAAAATTTTCCGCCCATTAACAAGAAAAAAGAATTGAAGTTTCGGAATCAGACAGTAAGCGCGAATTATGCCCCTTGGAAATATTTGCGCCCATTATAATAAATAACAAAAGCGTAAATCCGGTAAAGTCCATTGGCGTAGATTTCCATTTTAATTCAGCTTTTTCTCTTTCAGACACCATGCGCAAAGTTTGCGCAGTTTTAAAATATTGCGCCCATTAACAAGAAAAAAGAATTGAAGTTTCGAAATCGGACAGTAAAATCGAATTATGCGCCTTGGAAACATTTGCACCTCGATTTGCACCCATTGTAATAAATAACAAATACGTAAATCCGGTAAAGCCCATTGGCGTAGATTTCCATTTTAATTCAGCTTTTCCTTTTTCAAACTCCATGCGCAAAGTATGCACAGTTTTAAATTTTGCGCCCATTAACTGGAAAAAAGAATTAAAGTTTCGAAATCAGACAGTAAGCGCGAATTATGCGCCTTGGAAATGTTTGCGCCCATTATAATAAATAACAAAAGCGTAAATCCGGTAAAGTCCATTGGCGTAGATTTCCGTTTTAACTCAGCTTTTCCTTTTTCAAACACCATGCGCAAAGTATCCGCAGTTTTAAATTTTGCGCCCATTAAAAAAAGATAAGTGAAGTATAGTCAATGACGTAGATTTCCACGCAAAATTAAATGTTTCTAAATCAGACAGTAAGCGCGAATTATGCGCCTTGGAAATACAATTTGCGCCCATTAGGAAAAAAACAAACGGCGCATAATTTGCGCTTAATGCCAACTTAAGAAATTTTTGATTTGCTATTGTGGCACAAAACTCGCACCTAACCTCACAATGAGGAAAAAAGCCGAGTTGTCCAGAAGGTCACGCAAAATTTGGGTAGTTTTACATTTATTCAATGGCGCATAATGAGCGTCACGAAAAAAATTGATTTGCGTCGAGTTATTGCTATTGTAGCGCGAAGTTTGAGCCACTCTTAGTATATTGAAACACAAATGTATTCTCAAAGGGCAAAACGGCGCATAATTTACCTTTCAGCAATATCATCTTTTTGTAATCTTAAAATTTATCCAAATGGGCTCCTTCAAATCTCCCAAATCCTAGTCCAAAATCCCCTCGAAGGTTTCTTGATTCTTCAAGAATATCCTAACATGCCTTTCAAGACACTCAACTCCTTTAGTATTCTGCAACATTCTTGAAGTTCTTAATAATCCTACAGTATTTTTGGTGATATCTCAAGATTTACTACTCAAAATCCTTAAACGCAATTTAATATTCTGCAGGAATATCCTAAAAGGCGTTTCCAGACGCTTACCTCCTTTGGTATCTGCAAGATTCTTACAGCTCTGAATAATCCTACGGGATTTTTTTGCTGCCTCAAGATTTACTACTCAAAATCCTTAAACGCAATTTAATATTCTTCAGGAATATCCTAAAAGGCCTTTTGAGACACTTAACTCTTTTAGTATTCTTCAAGATTCTAGCAGCTCCTCATAATTCTACAGGTTTTTTGGATACCTCAAGATTTACTACTCAAAATCCTTAAACGCAATTAATATTCTGCAGGAATATCCTAAAGGTCTTTTGAGACACTTAACTCTTTTAGTATTCTTCAAGATTCTAGCAGCTCCTCATAATTCTACATTTTTTTTGATACCTCAAGATTTACTACTTAAAATCCTTAAACGCAATTTAATATTCTTCAGGAATATCCTAAAAGGTCTTTTGAGACACTTAACTCTTTTAGTATTCTTCAAGATTCTAGCACTCCTCATAATTCTACAGGTTTTTTTGATACCTCAAGATTTTCTACTCAAAATCCTTAAACGCAATTTAATATTCTGCAGGAATATCCTAAAAGGCCTTTTGAGACACATAAGTCTTTTAGTATTCTTCAAGATTCTCGCAGCTCCTCATAATTCTACAGGTTTTTTTTGATACCTCAAGATTTACTACTCAAAATCCTTAAACGCAATTTAATATTCTTCAGGAATATCCTCGGGATTATACTAAAAGGCGTTTCCAGACGCTTGACTCCTTTAGTATCTGCAAGATTCTTACAGCTCTGATTAATCCTACAGGGTTTTTTTGCTGCCTCAGGATTTTCTACTCAAAATCCTTAAACCCCTATTTAATATTCTTCAAGAATATCCTAAAAGACCTTTCCAGGAGCTTGACTCCTTGGTATTCTACAAAATTCTTTTTTATACCTCAGGATTCCTTACATCCAGTTTAATATCCTTCAGGAATATCCTCGGGAATATCCTAAAAGGTCTTTCCAGATGCTTGATTCTGCAAGATTCATGCAGCTCAGGGCTGAGTCGAGCGTTCTAAAAAGCCGCTCGAGCGACGAGTGCTCTAATTGCCTCAAAAATACTCGCGAGCATCGAGCTGTTTTGTAAAGCGAAACCGCTTGCGAGTTCCGAGCACTCCTAAAAGTGCTCGGGCCGTTTATCGCGAGCGCTCGGGAAAAGTGCCCGTGAGTGAAAAAAGCGCTCGAGCGGAAAAAACGTTCGCGAGCGGGGCTTAATCCTTCAGCGCTTGAGAGCGGACAGGAAAAAGCGCTCGAGCGCCGAGCACTTTAAGTAAACGCTTGAGTATCGAGCACCAAGCGGCCGCTCCGAAAAGTTTTTCCGCTTGGAGCGCTTTTTCAAGCGAAACGCTCGCGAGCAGTACCCAGCTCTTAATAATTCTAGGATTTTTTTTGATACCTCAGAATTCTTCAACCCCAAAAATAAAAATTGACACCTGAAAATATTGAAACCTTTTTTGATACCTACTGATCTATCCAAAAACCCGTCCGCATTTTATTCCAGAATGATCTCCTTGGAAAAACTGAATGGAATATTGAAAAATACCGTACCACAGAATAGATACGGAGTACCACAGACGAGACCACAGAATACCAGATGTATAGAAAAGAACGCCCTCCTTGGTATTATTTATTGATATGTATCTAATAGTTATTGACATAGGAAAATGGGTAATCTATGGCATTTTCGGGGCCTGATACTTGACAAACTTTCGGTTTCAAAAACACTAAAGACAAAGTGACAAAATAGAGGCACAAGCGCCATCTTTGATCGACTGAAATTACCCAGATCCTTTTTTCAGATCATAGTACAAAGGTTCACAAAGGAAAACTACCTACCACAACTGGACAAGTCGAAATTTCTAGTCCCCCAAGAAATCACAATGTCGCAATTCCTCACGATCATCAGGTAAGTCGGCCCCTCTTCGCCGTACCGTGCGTGCTTACGGGAAAATTTCCCTTTCAGAAACCGCATGCACGTCGGATCGTCGCAGGCCCTCTACCTCCTCGTCAACAATAAATCGCTGGTCAGTCTGTCGTTAACGCTGGCCGAGGTTTACACCGAGTACGCGTGCACCGACGGTTTCCTGTACATAACGTACGCGTCGCAGGAGGTGTTCGGAGGCCGTAAATGATGTGATCAAACTTGTATTAATAGGAGTAACGGTCGTGAGGAAAGTGAAAACGTGGTGGTAGGATAAGAGTTTACTACTTAGCCGACGTGTTTTCGGAGGGAGGACGAGAGCCGCTGCAACGCGTTCAATTTCTCTTCTTTTTTATTATTATAGTTACTGTGTAATTTCAGAAAGAATAGACTGATCAGGTTTTTAAAGTAGACTTTAAGTTATTGTAGATGTTAATGGTAATTCTCATACCAGTATGTTTACTTAAAAACATTTTAAAAGACTGTTCGTACAATCCGTACCATTTATTAGCATCTTCAAGGGATGTGTTTTGATATTTTTACCAAATAAATTTTCTCAAGTCGTTGTTGCTGAATGAGTGAGGCCGAGTATTTCAGTGGGAGGCGAATGAGACCGACAGGACAATAATCAAAAGGTAAATCAGTACGTACTTACAAATTGTGAGGTTATGGTGCACAATAACCGCTTTAAATCAATTGCAAGCTGGTGGTAGACACATAATTAATTGCCATTGTCTTTAATTTGTTACAAACCATTCATTATCCGGCATAAATAAATAGAATTGTTGAAAAACTGTACAAAACATTAAATGCACCGAAAACTTTTGACAGAAGGCGGTGTTGTCTAGTTGCCTTTGTAGCTACTGAAGCCACAGTCTGTGTCTATGGTGTTGCCACTATCAGTTTTTATCTTATAAAGTGAGTACACACGTTACGCTTTTGATGGTACCCCTCCACCCCTTCGCCACCCAATTACCTTCAAAATGCGCTTTCGTCATATTTTGGCGTTTATTCAGAGACGCAATTTCTTAATTTTTTTTTAAATTTTGGCTCGTAAGTGGGCGGGGCAATTACAAATATCAATGCCCGAACCCGGATTCGAACCATGGACCTTTAGTGCCGCAGTCGGGCTTCCACGCAGTGGCGTAGCGTAGCTTGGTGGCGCCCGGGGCGCGATCAAGGTTTGCCGCCCTATATTTTAGAAGAAGCTGGTGAACATTTTGAGTTCCCTATCGTTTATTGAAAAAAAGAGTTCAAATTTCTTATTCTATTCTTGATTTGATCACTTTTAGAGCGAACGATTGTTGGGGGGGGGGGGGGAGTCACTCCTTGCTGGACTTTATATCTTTCAGTTGATGCCTATATGATCCACGTAGCAGATGAATTACTACAATAAACACAAACAGACAGGCAGAAAACAGCGTAATTTTGAATTATTTTGTAATGCGGTAAAAAACGATATACCCTGCTTCTGAAGTCGAACCTAGAAACGCAAGAATTTCAAAGATATAATGATATTTGAATTGCTTGATAGACATTGTTTAAAAGATTACAGTATATTGAGAAATCAGTATTTAAACTTCTGTTGTATGTACACCAGAAATTCTTCGTCATGTATTTTCGCCTGTTTTTGTCAGATAAAGCAATCGATGGTCGTCGTTGCGTACGAAATAAAAATTTAAATGGATTTTTACAAGATTTTTTTTATCGTTTCCTACTTTTAGTATTTTCAAAAGCGCCCCGGGATATTATTGCAGGTAACCCGCTGCCGCCTCCCCTCCTTCATCCTAAAGCGGCGCCAGGCGGACCACCACTTTGCCACTGCTTCCACGCCACTGAGTCACACAGGCCGGCACTTAGACAAGGAAAGAGACAATCTAAGTAGTATATGAATCTGATTGCTGTTACCACCCCCACAAACTGTTTATGCAATAACAACATACAAATTGTACGTCGACATGAGAGATAGAGCACAAAAGTATGTAGACTGTTGGCAACATCATATAATTATTTAGGGTTATTTTGTACATCCGTGAACCCACCGTAAATAAGCCAATTGTTATAAAGTCATATGAACCGCAATCACTTTCTCACGTTCACCTTTCTCTTGTATGGGTAATATGTAATTTGTATGTAAAAGGTACCTACTACGGTATAGATTTTTGAATGAACCAGTGGCGTAACATATAATTCATAACATAACCTAATTTTTATTTAAACATCGATGCAATATTTATAAAGATATGTATTTTAACTTATGTAATTGCTATTTTATGGCTCATATACGAAACAGCACTTATGCTCAGTAATTAAAAAGTCCCTTAGGTTTAAGTTGAAATCTCTAATTATGAACGCAAAAACGAAAGTGATAGCCGCTTTAAATACAGTTAATCAAGCACTTCGCGAACAGTTAAAGTGGGGCGCCGCCGAGGCTCCAAAGTACGTAAACCACGTAAAGGAGGAGATCATCTACAAGAAGGCGGCCGAAGCGAACGCCTGGTACACGAGAATATTGGGTCTCGACGAGGTGAAGTTTTACCAGCAGCGTGTGATAACGTTACAAGTGAGTAGTTGGTCACCGGCGTTTGAGTTATCGTCGCTTCTTTAGGAGAAGCTCCTCGACGTTCAGGAGAAACGTCGCGAGATCGGCCGTCAGCTCTCCGAGGTGCGGCGCAAGTCGAACGAGCTGCAAGAGCAGATCCACAAGGTGAAGCGACAGGAGGACCTGCAGAGATTTCTCGATTTGATGAAGGAGGAGACGGAGATCTTAAAGCAGGAGCTGTCCGTAACGGACACTTTTAACGGATGCGATCGAGAGGAGCGCGAGATCTTTACCGCGTTTACGAATGCGGTGAAGGACTCGCACGAGAAACAGCGCGCCCAGTTGGAGTACACGAAATATTTCGGATTGATTCTCAGCCTGGTCGGTTCTTTCTTGACGTTCGCCTACTCCACGTTGCGAAAGCAAGATTTGAAGAGGTTCATTGATGAACGATTACGCGTAGATAACGGTGACTTGAGCGCGTCGGTTCTCCAATTGCAATTACAAGAAGGTCTGAAAGAGATGCGTAATGTTTCCGGTGTAATCGATAGGGACAAGCAACTTTTAACGTTAATTAGTAACAATCAAAGGGAGTTATTGAATCGATTAGATAATTCGACGCTTTTAAATGTAATTAATCAAAATCATAGGGAAACTGCGATGGTACTACAGGCGATAGTTCACAGTAAAGCCGTAACGAGCACCGAGCCTTCAGATTCGCAGATCATTCTAGGCGTAGGTGGGATAGCGGCATTACTCGGTTTTATATTATTGAAATGCGTTTTTGGTTAATTTTATAAGCTGAATACAACTCTAACAATAAAAATCGAAGTACACTTCGGAATTACGAATCCCATTTCTTCCACTCCATTCCGTCGGGTGGTTTAACGTCGACGTGTCCTTTACCGATTTCGTTCCAATTCGTACTGAGTACCGTGCCCCCACTTTCCATCTGCAATTAAACTTTATTATGCAACGTGTCATTTCAAATTCACTTACGTAGCTTTTCACCATTGCGCGCTTCACATCATCGCTACCTTTGCCGTAAATATCTTGAAAAAGCATATTTAGTGCCTCCTCTCCCACCGGCTTTTCGCTAGACTCTTGCTTATTGATGTCGCGTTCGATCGCCGTCCAATCCTTACCCGGTTTCGAGGTGGGATACGACGGGGGCCCGCTCGAAGCGGAGGGATCCTGCGGTATTTGTTTGAGTATTTTATCATCCTCTGAGCGTTCCAGGTGTTCCCAACGAATACCTTCCGCTTTCTTTAATTTCACCTCGACCTTCGTTTGAGTCACTTTAAATGTGCACTGGTCGGGGTTCACGTCGTGCGCTACTCTAATTTCCCTAGCGTGCGTGCAATTGTCCGGCAGTGATAGGTTGACGCTAACGGTGTCATTTGTAAAGTTAATTGCGGTTGTATCGGAGTTTACGTTCTTTGCTAGAATTGTTATGACCACTGTAGCCTCGGTTTGGTACCAGTCGTACTTGACGGGGGCCGATCTCTACAAGTCAAAAATGGAGGTTAAGTTTGAATTTATTTTTAAATGCTCTTTACCGACCTTCTCTTGATTGTCTCCCATTGCGTGATCGATAGGAATGATCAAATTATGAGACTTTCTTATTTACGAAAGTTTCACAACAGAAATGCAAAACATTTTTGATTATTCGTTTTAGGGTTTTTTTTAACCTATTAGGGGAATTGAGACTCTGGTGCCACTGCCAACACAAAGTTCAATAAAGTGTATACTGTATACAGGGTGTTACATAAGAAACGTGCAATTTGAAATTATTGAGTTTAGCTGCTGTGCGTAAAAATACTAAAAAACGTGTAAACTCCTATACCCTTAGATCATATATATACATGGATCAAAAACGTTAAAAATACCTGGACGCGACATTGCGCCATTTGTTGTGAAGCATACATTCCACGCATTGTTTTCCACAGGTTTGTCTTGTAAACAACGATGCCGGATCGTGTAAACTCGTTTGTTTGTTTACACGCGTACGTAAATTTGTTTTTAATTTCTAATAGGCGAATTTGTAGACAATTATATCATGGTGCGGCGTGTGCAAAGTATATGATAAACGAACGAAAGGAATATCATTTCACGCGTAAGTACTTTTTTTGAGGTTATATTGCTCTTATGTTTGTTATTGGGGTCAGTGGCATAGGTTATTTATGTTCTCATTTTATAGATTTACAGAACTTAAACGGGAACTCCACTGTTGGTGGAAGCAACTGTCATTCCTCCTTCACACACGCGGCTAAATACATGTTGCCTCCAGTTTTACTGCATGTAGTAGACAGAGAATGCCGCGTCCCAGGTATTTTTAACATCCTTGACATGGATAGAGCTTTCTCATAAGCTCTACTAAAAGACAACCGTTGCCAACATTCCAACGTGCATTTTTATGCCTATCATCTTTTACTATTAGCAAAGAGTAACTAATAATATTCGTTGCTATTAGGTTTGTTTATTCATTTATAGTTGTGAGAGGTTCCACCCTGTGTATACAACTTACGATGATACATACATTTTGTGAGTTGGAAACCATGCAATTTCTAGTCAAAATTGAGCTACGACACTTAATTCCGTGATTGTCTTCGACATTCAACTATAGGTTCCAAACCAGGGGTGGGTTACCCATCTTGCAGGAGCGGCATTACGCTAATCAAAGCTCTTCAGTTTAGAATGTATGTGCGATAAATGAGTTACGATTCGCAATTTCCACATATCTTGTTTTTAGTTAAATTTGCCTACAAGGTAATGTAATTTTCCATCTTGCTTTTAACAAAAGGACTTTATTGTACCAAAGATGAGTCACATCCTGTGGATTTCACCCTTTCTTAGAATCTTGGTACCTGCTTACCTGACCCATAATTCCCAAAATTTGTTTTTAACCTATATGTTACCTCTTGAAGTTTACCTGTTACTTTTTGTGATGTTATAATTTTATGTTACGCATTCACATCATTACAAACAATTAATTTTACAACACAATTTGATATTAATTTGACGGCTGTTTTTTTTATTGGTAAGTTCTTTTTTTCCCAGCCTATTTCTATTTTTATTCGGTGAACTACCATTTTCAAAGTTTATTTTTGCAATGTAATTTATTTTGACTTAAATTTCCGAGCAACAATTACGCCATCTGTCGTCAGTAAATTGTAAACCCTCTATATGGTTTAGAACTATTATAAGAATTATTGAAAGCGACACATTACCCAACACGCTCCCTGAACTTTACCTAACGTACTAACGATCGGTGGAATAACTATAAATGAAAAACAATGGTTTTTCTGATGTTGCGTAAAACAAAAAACACTAAAAACACGTCTCCTATACCCATATATATAAGAGGTATATATATGCCTATACCAAAGTAATTTAACCCCAACATGGCGACCGAACCAACGACAAATCAAAAACCAGATTGTCACCACTGTTCTAAATAGTGTCACTGTAGTAAATATAGACCAATTTGTTCTTAGATTCTTTCCCGAACTGTATACCCCTATGAGCTGGAATACTCAATTGTGTCGATGAACTCCTTAGGGGAAATCTTTTCACATATAGTCGTTGAGCCGGCGTTCCCGTTGGATAATCCGTGTATAACATGAATGCTCGCTAGTTCACTATTCCAATGTTGTAGAAGAAAAATAATCAAAAAATATTTTAACTGAATGCAGTACCCTGTATGAAATTACACAAATGTAAATCGTATGTGGTTGGTAAACCTGATTCTATAAATAAGTTTGACAACATCGTAAACAAATGATTTGACAATTAACCGCCAATAATAACTGCCGGAGAAGGAATTTCGCTGTACGTTTCTTGAATGAAATCAAAATTAAATAACAGCGACAATGCCTTGCGAAATGATAACTTTACAGTTAGGCCAGTGCGGCAACCAGAGTAAGTACATTCCTCTTAACGTAATCGTTACAAGTGATGATTCGTAGTCGGATTCGAATTCTGGAAGAGGCTCTGCGCCGAACACGGCATTAATCCCGAAGGAATACTCGAGGACTTTGCCACCGAAGGCATCGATCGCAAAGATGTGTTCTTTTACCAGGCCGACGACGAACACTACATTCCACGGGCGGTCCTTCTCGACTTGGAACCGCGAGTCATTAATACCATCATGAATTCTCGGTACTCGAAGCTTTACAATCAGGAAAATGTTTTTCTATCTAAAAACGGGGGCGGTGCCGGAAATAATTGGGCGTGCGGATATTCGCAGGGCGAAAAATTGAACGAGGAAATCTTCGATATCATCGATAGAGAGGCGGATGGTAGTGATAGTTTGGAAGTAAGTATCTCATTGCGGGTAAGTTAAACTTTAAGTGAGAATTCTTATCGTTTTGTCCAGAGTTTTCTATGGTTTGTTGAGTCTTAATGCTGTGCAGACTCGGTGTTTTTTTGTCCTCTTCTATATACTCATGCACACTTGGGCGGAACAGCGGAGGGCAGTTGTCTTTTCCTGGGTTCCAGGACAGCATGGTACGAAAACATATACTTTTTATGGCAAAGGTGGCGCCACCACGTCGCGGGCAATCGCAAATCATAGGTAATAATCCGACAAGTCAGATTTGTTGAGATTTTGATTTATAGAATTTTGCTATTGTAGAGTTTTGGAGACGTCCCATACATTTCTAGAGTTCTTGCCTAGCGTTCAGACATTTAAGTTATAAAAAATCAATTTTGAAAATAAAGGGGGAACACTTCAAGAAGCCTCCCAATGTGTCAAAAGTGAACTTTTTTGAGAGTTCTGAAAAGGTCATCCTGACAAGTGATGTAAAAATCTTATTATTGATAGAATTTAAAAAAATGTTCATAAGGATATTGAAACAACTAAAAAATTTTCAAAAGATTTCTTCGAGGATTTCTTGAATGTTTCAAAAGAATTTCAAGAAATGTTCGGAAGAAATTAAAAAAGAATTCTGAAAGAATAATTGTAGATGGCGTCGTTTATAGTTTTATTATTTATTATGGGATACGAAAAATACAATAATATACCCTCCCCCTTCCCCCCAGCAGACAACAAAGGAATATTCATTTGTTCTGTATGCTGGAGCGATGTTCCATACTGCAGCAAGAAAGCTAGGAAGGGTTCTCTCTTTTGGCATTTCAGAAACAGAAACAGTCTTGAAATGAATTAATTTATAACAGTAAAATATTATTCGTTCACAAATACACAATTTATGACAACGTGAACTATTTATTACTTCGGTGTCGAAATTGGCACTGCCCTTAAACTAAGTTCGATTTGCTTATATAGTAACTAGAGTGTTCCGGAGCGGTCGCTAGTCTTCTTCAACGTTCTAGAACAAAATACGTCACATTTCGCGGAAAGATTGCGTCACATCCGCCTTCGTTCTTTATTTAATCACTAATAGTTCATGGTGCCTCGATGTTTATCGGGATTTCGGAAATATTCGCTACATTATACTTCAAAAAAAGTCCAAAAGAACAGTTCGGCTCGCTCGGCGTTGGTATGAACTCGGTATTTTGTGACCGAAATCGTGTAACTGCCCCGAATTCCGAGTGAGCGGTTGATTTATACCGATCTCGCCTTCGGCTCGTTCAACATGTGTAAACCTTCACATAATCTAGTGTCGAACACTGCTGGGTGACACAGAGGGTTCGAATAAACCCACAATTAATTGACTCACAGTGACAAAAAATTATTACGAAACACAAGAAATGAAAAATTAAACCCAAAATTCCTGAACTAAAGAAAAACTTACAAGGCTTGTTTGGACAAATTACCCCGCACGCAAGCGCTCGACAAATAAAATAAGAATAAGATTGTTTACAGTTTTTTTTAATAATTCTAATAATCTAATGACAAACTACTTCTCCTACTAATCAAATCGGGGGGACAGTCCGAATAAAATAAACAGCGTAAAGAAACGTACACGCTTTCAAACAGTCGCGAACCAGCAAGCCTCGTTTTTTCGTTGATACCACTTCCACAATAAAATAATCTTCTGCAGCACTTTCAAATAACACTGACAATCATAATTCAACGTGATAATGCCAGCTTTGACAGAACGTGTCCCCACTTACGCCGAACTATGCGCACATCGTTGAGCACCTGCACATCCCTTATCAGCATCTTCGTTGAAATTAATTATCGTTCGCCTGTTATCAAATGTTCTTATCACAAACACTTAATTTGGCCAGATGTTTCTTATTGCGTTTATTACACAATTACAGACAATTGTAAAATGGAAAAACAACTACGGAAATACAAATTCAAATGAAATAAACCAATTCTGTGCTTTTTCGTAAATACATGACTAAATTTGAATTATTTCTTATGCAGGTTGTTCCGTCATTATTTTTGACATTTAGACCGAACGAACGTCTACATGACGTTTACACAAAACACAAATCCGATTTTATTATTGGAATGCGAGGTCAAGTTTATTTTGTATCGGAATTGGTTAATGTGGTTAATATAGATAAGTTGTTATCGCAGCGTAAGCTAATTAGTTTCAAGATAAGAAGGTGCAGTTCATAGTTCAAGCATTACCCTTGAATCCTTTGGCTTTAGTTCGCTTCGTTGACTTTTTGCACCAGAAGAAAAGTTCATAGGATTCGTGAATCCAAGCGAACCCGCTTCCATTTCGCGAAAGTACTCATCGAGATCGTGATTATGCACTGGAATAAAATGCCAATGTTCCGCTGTGTTGATATTAACTTTGGCCAATTTATTAACTAGGTCTTGTTGCAGGTAAATGCACCGATTAAATCTGTTGTATACAACATTTTTTAATCGCACAAGTCGCGATCGAATGACGTCACTAAACTTGCTTTTATTATTAGCGATCCAAAAAAGTCTTTTGTGTATCACAATAAGTTTAGTGTCACTTTTTCTTATTTGAAAAGCGGTTCTCCGATTCGAAATTGTTCCTTCACGTAAATTTTACCACTCGTAAACCAACAGCTTTGCTACGAATCAAGACTGCTTTCTTCGTACTTGAATTTACTGTGATGCTTCTATTCGCACGCATACAAAATTGTAGGTAGCTCGCAATTTGTCACTCGAATTTAGTAAATATTTCTCGACGACTTCTCGAAACAGGCGTTCTCGCCACTTAAGATGCTATACCCGAAGTTAAAATTCTTTACTACTATTCGGAGAGATTCACTCAATAAATGCACGTTCTGGTTCTTGACGAATCTTCAAACATACTCGAGGATATTGCTTACAACGCAGCAAAAAATGTCGACTGAGAATCAATTTTGCTTTTCCCAATACGTTTCTTATCACTAGATATATTTGTTCGTGTTCGTATATGAGTACATTTTCGCGTTTAACTCGTTTATAGTTCCGACGTTATGTGATCACCACAATATGTGCATCTTCGTTGAAATTAATAATAATTTGACCAGATGTTTCTTACTTAATGCGTTTATTACACAATTACAGACAATTGTAAAGTGGAAACACAACTACGGAAATACAAATTCAAATGAAATAATCCAATTCTGTGCTTCTTCGTAAATACTTGACTAAATTTGAATTTTTTCTTATATACAGGTTGTCCCGTCATTATTTTTGGTATTTAGACCGAATGAACGTCTACATGACGTTTACACAGAACACAAATCCGATTTTATTATTGGAATCCGAGGTCAAGATTATTTTGTATCGGAATTGGTTAACGTTGTTAATATAGACAAGTTGTTATCGCAGCGTAAGCTAATTAGTTTCAAGATAAGGTGCAGTTCAACGAAGCATTACCCGTCATCCTTTTGTCTTTAGTTCGCTTCGTTGACTTTTTTGCATCAGAAGAAAAGTTCGTAGGATTCGTGAATCCAAGCGAACTCGTTTCCATTTCGCGAAAGTACTTATCGAGCTCGTGATTATGCACTGGAATAAAATGCCAATGTTCCGCTGTGTTGACATTAACTTTGACCAATTTATTAACTACCTAGGTCTTGTTGCAGCTAAATGCACTGATAAATTCTGTTGTGTATAACATTTTTTTATCGCACAAGTCGCTATCCAATGACATCACTAAACTTGCATTTAATCAGCTATTACTATTAGCGATCCAAAAAAAAGTCTTTATATATCTTAATAAGTTTAATGTCACTTTTTTTATTTGAAAAGCGGTTCTCCGACTCGAAATTGTTCCTTCACGTAAATTTTACCACTCGTAAACCAACAGCCTTACTACGAATCAAGACTGCTTTCTTCGTCCCTGAATTTACTTCTATTCGCACGCATACAAAATTGTAGGTAACTCGCAATTTGTCACTCGAATTTAGTAAATATTTCTCGAAACTTATGCGTTGATTTGGTGGGATTCTGAAGGTTTGTACAAATTTTATGTTAGCAAATAATATTCTTTTCAGAGTTGATTCTTACCTTCCGACTTTCTGATTTTGCAAAAATTTCTTCTTCCAAAGGATATTAATCCTTTGGATTTAAGTTATGAGAATCCTTTTGCTGTACACCGGGCGTTCAATAATGCTTTGGATTGATGTTTTTTTAGCGTGAACGTAAGGTTGTTTATAAGTTCATACCAGATACAGTACAAAGTCGTCAGATTATAATGAATCACATCCCAAATGAAAATCAGTAGTTACTCGCCTCAATGCACCACTCCACCACAACTCGCTTAGAACTATATAAGATCTGATCTTAATTCGTAAAAACAGCTGAGTATGTTTAGGGTTTCGTATTGTGCCATTCGATTGCCGGCGGAACGGGTTCCGGAATGGGTTCAAATATACTCGAGAAGCTATCCGATCGCTTTCCCAAGAAACTGGTACAAACGTACAGCGTGTTCCCGAATCAAGACGAAATCAGTGACGTGGTAGTTCAACCGTACAACTCGCTGCTAACGCTAAAACGTCTGACGGATTCGGCGGACTCGGTCGTCGTATTAGATAATACGGCGTTAAATCGGATCGCCGCCGATCGCTTGCACATTCAAAATCCGACGTTTACGCAAATCAACAGTCTGGTCAGCACGATAATGTCGGTCTCGACGACGACGCTTAGGTATCCGTCGTATATGAATAACGATCTGATGGGTCTGCTCGCTCCGCTAATTCCGACGCCGCGTCTACACTTCCTAATGACCGGTTACACGCCGCTGTCGACGGATACGGACGAGGTTAGCGTGCGAAAGACGACGGTCTTGGACGTGATGAGGCGACTGCTACAACCGAAAAATATGATGGTGTCCACGACTCAAGATCGCAACTCGCAGCACTGCTTCATATCGATCTTGAACATCATTCAGGGCGAGGTCGATCCGACGCAGGTGCACAAATCGTTGCAGAGGATACGCGAACGGAAACTCGCCCAGTTTATCCCGTGGGGCCCGGCGAGTATACAGGTCGCCCTCTCACGAAAATCCCCATACATACAGACGGCCCATCGAGTTTCCGGTTTGATGCTCGCGAATCACACCAACATCAGCTCGGTAGGTGCTTCGTTTTCGAGACGTACCTAACAGGGGAATTTTCAGTTGTTCGATCGCGCACTCCAACAGTACGACAAGCTGCGCAAACGCGAGGCGTTCTTGGAGCAGTTTCGCAAGGAGGAAATGTTCAAAGACAATCTAGCCGAATTGGACGTGAGCAGGGAGGTCGTACAAGATCTGGTTAACGAATACGTGGCGGCGACTCGAGAGGACTACTGCACTTACGGGTTGACATAGTGCGCCGCTCCAATTTCCGTCTTCCCCCCCATCTTGAAACGTAACGCGTTAATTGGTGCCATAACGATAGGAAGTAATCTCATGTAATATGCTGTTTATCAAAATAATAATGTTAATTTACCAGTCCATTAATGTTTAATTAAAGTTTCGCATTAACCGTTTTATTTTTGTATTTCCACCAACTGCAAACGTGGTTTACAAATCCCCGAATGTCGGCAAGTTTATGTTTCCCTTCGCAAGGGTCTAATTTGTTCCGCCCCCTCGAGGTAGTTATATTTGCGGGTTCGTATGAGCAATTCCCCTGTTTATCCAATCAACCTACTGACTTGCGCCCCTCATTTCCCCTTTAATTCAATTTAATTTTAGCCTTAATTCTAGGTATCAATTATCAATTCTAGCACTTATCTTTACGCCCTTGTTGTCCTGTTGGTTGGAGATTCCTACACTGTCTTGACCTCTTCGCAATTTAATTAGATCCTCGCGCGTCATTTGTGTCTTGATAAAGACAACTTCCGTTTGAGGTTCGAATCCTCTCCGCGTTTCAATGTTTTGTAGTGTACTTAACCCCCCAGGTTCTACGCTAACTTCACACTACAAGAACACGGAAATAAAGTCAACCCGGCAATGTTTAAAAATGGCCACCCGAATGATGATTCCCTCCAAAATTAAACAAGACCCCGCTTAAATTTGAAATGTGGCACGTGATAAGACATCTAAGGCAGGACCCCCTTACGTTAGTTGTAGACAACGCTTGCAATGATGTGAATGGGGAACATAAAATTATAACATCACAAAAAGTAGCAGGTAAACTTCAAGAGGTAACATATAGGTTAAAAACAAGTTTTGGGAATTATGGGTCAGGTAAGCAGGTTACCAAGATTCTAAGAAAGGGTGAAATACACAGGATGTGACTCATCTTTGGTGCTATAAAGTCCTTTTGTTAAAAGCAAGATGGAAAATTACAGGTCTTGTAGGCAAATTTATCTAAAAACAAGATATGTGGAAATTATTGAATCGCCACTCATTTATCGCACATAGATTCTAAACTGAAGAGCTTTGATTAGCGTAATCCCGCTCCTGCAAGATAGGTAGCCCGCCCCTGGTTTCGAGCCTACAGTTGAATGTCGAAGACAATCACGAAATTAGTTGTCGTAATTCAATTTTGACTACAGTTTTTACCACCCCCGTGACTGCTTCATTCACGGAGAAAATTGTTAGTAACAAACAACAAGTCAGTACATACATCAAACGAATCGGTAATTTCCACATATTAAAATAAAATGATCAAAACTTATATGAATGTTACTTCAGGGACAAGACCAAGTAATCAACATCAATAAACATAAACTAAGCAAGCATTACACCAAAAACGTAAAAAATTAGAAACAATAGCATAACGGTATCACATATGTGATTCTGCATTGCGGTTAAACCAAGTAAATTTATAAACAAAGATTCAAACACAAAAAATATAAAATGTGGCATACAAAACACAAATACGATATAAAGAAATACAAAGATTACTTACCTGCATTAAAAGAACACAAAATAACAGCAAACATTTATGGAGCGACGCGTTCTCAACCGCCATTCAAGACAAGATGCCTAACGTAACCCACATTCGTGCTTTCTGGGTGGCGCAAGAGCATTTCCCCACCTTCGTCATTTTTTTTAAAATATTTTAAGCTATAATACTATAATATATAATTATAATTTATAGTATTGGCATTTGTAAACTTTAAACCATAAAATTATTACATCAGTGGGTGGTATGATCCCTCCCAAGCTTTAGAGTTCATTCCAAGTGTAATGTTCCTAGGGGTTTATCAAGCCGACACTGAAAACGTTGACTTACCCTGTACTTACCGGTGGAAACTCTAGGAAAAACTACAAGCAGAACCTTTCAAGTCGAAAGGATGGACTTTTCGCGGCACTTTTGAATTTGGATGGCAGTCGGCTCGATAGGGAGGGCACGAATGAACTCCTACGTTGTGTAATCGGTTCTTATATGTGTTGGGACGTGAGACATAATGGGGAAGGGAATTAAATAAAAGACAGCACACAACAAGACCGTGCCAGGGGGAAACCTTCTACGGGACAAAAACCCCGGCATAGGCCACACAAGTGCATGAAATAAATCAGCTACAGCAATAAAATGCAAGAGAAAATACACATAAATAAAACATCTCAAATTGTATGATAAAAATCAGATAATCAAATCAAATGCAATTAAACAAGTTCAGAAAAACAAAATACACAAGACATCATAAATGCCGTGGAAAACCTGATGCTTCAATTCAGTACAAAAACACATCAAAATACCTGTACAATCAATTGAGATAACACAACTCGTAAAATAAATAAATTGCATGTACATAGGAAACATGTAAATGGCGTGGCTCTACTCCAGCCTTCATTAACATAATTTTGTTTAACACGAAACGTACATGTGAGAATGCCAATAGCAAGTATTCATGTGAAAATCGATTATCGCTCAAGCAGAACATATTTTAAATAGAGGAAATGTTAATGAGAGGGCCCCTGCTTGCATTGCTAAGATGCTAAGAACTGCAATCCACACGAGACCAGTAGGCAACAGATACAGCGAAAGAAGAAATTATCAAAGGTCAAGAAAAGAATATGGAACAATTAAGAAACGAAATAAGAACCCAAAATTAAGAATGCGACCAGGAGTCAAATATCATCCCGCTCTTATACAAAGTAGAATCGTCAATGTGAACTTGGCGCATGTATCTTTCGCGGTACGCGAAATAGCAGAGTGAGACATCAACAAAGAAAGAAGTTGAAACAAATCGGGCGCAATTGTGAATCTGAACCATTCGGAGACGCAGACATAAACAAAAATTTCATAAAAATCCGTCAAGCCGTTTAGGACAAGTTCATATATACCTACTTAAATAGATTTATTATTTAATTCTGCACAATATTAACACTTACACAATTATTTAACTATTCATGATCTAAATGTAAAATATTCAGTCATTAATTTAATCACTAAACTAATTACGTTGTTTTGTATTTATAAAAAAAATCAAGTCGATTCTATACCTATGTAATTAGACAACTCCATCATTTTCACAATAATAGTCACACAGACTTGATTAGGAGAATTATTTTTTGGACCACACTTCCGATCTTTCGAAACGCTGTCTCTTCAGGTGTCCTATCACATTGTTCTCACCACAAATGTCACAATTAAAATTTTTTGTGTTTTAACAAATGATGCTTTAAATTGCGCATGGTATTTGTTGCAAAATTGCAAGTATCGCATTTAAAATTTTTCGATTTAATGTGTGATAAGAGGTGCGACTTAAAATATCGTTGAACATTTGTCGTGTAATTACAAACGTCACATTTAAAAGCATTTGAAACATTGTGTTTGAGCAAATGCTTCCTCAGACTTATCTTCCAATTTGTTGAATAATCACAAATATCGCACTTGAAAACTTTCGAATCATTGTGCGTTAAGAAATGCTGTTTCAAACAATCCTTTCTATTTGTTGCGTAATTACAAATGTCACATTTAAAATGTTTTAAAAGATTGTGTTTTACCAAATGACTTTTCAACTTGTTCTTAGTATTTGTTGTATAATCACAAATGTCACATTTCAAATCTGTCGAATCATTGTGTGTTACGAGATGCGACTTAAAATGGGCTACAACTTTTGTCTCATAATCACAAACGTCACATTTAAAAACTGACGAAACACTGTGTTTTATAGAATGTTGCCTGAAATCTTTCCGAATATTTGTTGAATAATTACAAACGTCACATTTAAACAGTTTTGAAACATTGTGTTTTAGCAAATGATTTCTCAAGTTGTTCTTGGTATTTGTCGTATAATCACACATATCACATTTAAAGTCGCTCAAATCATTGTGTGATAAAATATGTGATTTCAAATAGGTTTTAACATTTGTCCCATAATCGCAAAGGTCACATTTAAACATTGTCGAAACACTGTGATTAAGAAAATGTCGCTTAAAATCCCTCTTAATATTTGTTGCATAATTACAGACATTACAAATAAAATCTTTCGTAACTTTGTGTACTAGGGAATGTTGTTTCAAACTTAGCTTCCTATTTGTTGCGTAATTACAAATTTCGCACTTCAAATTTTTTGAATCATCGTGTATTAAGAGATGTGACCGAAAATGAGTTCTAATATTTGTGGCATAATCACAAACGTCACATTTAAAACATTTTGAAGTATTGTGTTTTAGAAGGTGATGGTTCAAATTTCTCTTAGAATTTGTCGCATAATTACAATTTGCACACTTAAATTGTTTAAATACTTTGTGAGTTTGGAGATGCATTTTTAAATTCTGTTTAATATTTGTTGCGTAATCACATGTTGCACATTTAAAACTTGTGTGCTTCAAAAGGTGTATTTTAAAATTTGGTTCGTTATCTGCTGTGTAATCGCAGACTTCACATTTAAAATCTTTCAAAGCATTGTGTGTTAGGAGATGTAACTTCAAATGGGCTTTAAAATTAGTCCCATAATTGCAAACGTCACATTTAAAAACCCTCGACTCACTGTGTCTTAGAGAATGTTGCTTAAAATCCCTCCTAATATTTGTGGCGTAATTACAAGAATTACATTTAAAATCTTTTGAATATTTGTGTATTAAGAGATGCTGTTTCAAACTTTGCTTCCTATTTGTTGCGTAATTACAAATATCACACTTCAAATCTTTTGAATCATCGTGTGTTAAGACATGCGATTTAAAATTACTACTGATATTTGTGGCATAATCACAAACGTCACATTTAAAACGTGTTGAAGCTTTATGTGTTAGAACATGATGCTTCAAATTTCGCTTAGAATTTGTTGCATAATTACAATTTGCACACTTCAAATTTTTAAATACTATGTGCTTTAAGAGAAGCGCTTTTAAATGCCGTTTAGTGCTTGTGTTTGTACATTTAAAATTGGTAGTAACCTTGTGCACCGAAATGTGTGTTTTAAAATGAGGTTCATTATCTGTTGTGTAATCACAGACCTCACATTTAAATCTTACAGTTTGAGAATGACCTCGTTGACGAGTTTCTTCTTGGCTACAGTCTTCTGTCACAGTCTCGTTACGTTCTTCTTTTATAGTTCCCGAAGGATTATTGCTTACGAGAGTGTTTCTTTCGAGGGACCAATTTATGTCATCTTCTTCTTTGGGTTCAGTTTTAACGAATGCAAAGTTGTCATCATCCATGATGATCTATTAACATAAGAATTGTTTTTAAATTCTTTGACCACAAACATAGAACTTACTCTTGACTAATATAATGAGTTATTGCTCATCAGTTTTCGGTATACTTACAACCACCATAAAAAAATTTGTGGGAGCTTGAATAACTTAACATCTTTCCACCAATGGCCATTGTTTACTTAATACAGTGTTGCCAGTTTCCAGATGAAAAAAGAAAATCTCCAGTGATTTATTTATGGCCATAATTACATCCTCTACAAGCGGTCAGCTAAAGTAATGGATTTGTAGTGTACTTAACCCCCAGGTTCTACGCTAATTTCACACTACAAGAACACGGAAATAAAGTCAACCCGGCAACGTAGATTCCCTCCAAAACTAGACAAGATCCCGCTTAAATTTGAAAAGTGGCACGTGATCAAACATCTAAGCAGGGTCCCCTTACGTTAGTTATAAACAACTCTTTGACCTGAACTGAAGCATAGTTGGGAAGGAATGTATAATAAAACACTGAAATTGTGAAAAGTTTGGTTAATAATGATCCCAATTATTAAAATTGTGAAAGCTCGGAAATTTAAGTCGAAATAAATTACATTGCAAAAACTCTGAAAATGGTAGTTCACCGAATAAAAATAGAAATAGGCTAGGAAAAAATGAACTTACCAACAAAAAACCAGCCGTCAAATTAATATCAAATTGTGTTGTAAAATTAATTGTTTGTAATGATGTGAATGCGTAACATAAAATTATAACATCACAAAAAGTAGCAGGTAAACTTCAAGAGGTAACACATAGGTTAAAAACAAGTTTTGGGAATTATTGGTTAGTAAGCAGGTACCAAGATTCAAGGAGAACATTGTTAGTTACAAACAACAAGTCAGTACATACATCAAACGGATCGGTAGTTTCCACATATTAAAATAAAATGATCAAAACGTATATGAATGTTACTTCAGAGACAAGACCAAGTAATCAACATCAATAAACATAAATTAAGCAAGCATTACACCAAAAACGTAAACAATTACAAACAATAGCATAACGGTATCACATATGTGATTATGCATTGCGGTTAAACCAAGTAAATTTCAAAAACAAAGATTCAAACATAAAAATTTTATCCTGACACAGTATAGAGTGTTTTAAATGCCCTATCAGGCACCTGCCAAGTTCAGGAAAATACCATTTAGTCTACCAAACAATGTATAGTCATGTAAGTCTCCTGAACCACTTACGGGCTGTGCATTAGCACTAACAGAACTAATTACCTATGTAAATAATCCATAGGCGAACGTCCAAAGTTATCCAAGGTTGTATCATCAGCCCCCAATTGAATCAATAACCTTACAGCATCAGTGTGTTGCTTACGGGCCGCACAATGAAGCGGTGTCAACTTGTTACAGCTGGAGGCATTTAGATTTGTCGATAACCGAACTAAATACCTAATCATCGTTATATCCCCAACGCTTGCGGCCAAATGCAACACACAAAAGCCCATACTGTTAACCGCACCTAAATCAGCGGGACAATTAAGCAAATAATCGCACACTTTTACGTGCCCGCCGAGAACGGCTTCGTGCAGTGGTGTATTTCTGCAGTTGTCACGAGCATCTACACTGACACCTGCACGAATGAGTCTCTTGACGATCTCTAAGTGGCCGTGTAATGAGGCAACATGAAGAGCGCTCCTTCCGTTATTGGTGACCGCAAACGGATCTGAGCCGTACGAGCTTAAGAGTTCAAAAATTGGCGTGGAGCCCTCGCGGCTTGTTAAATGCAAAGCCGTCCAGCCGTCCTTGTTTTTAACGTTGACCAATGCGCCTGCCTCCAACAGTAGTCTGACGCACTCGTGGTCGTCTTTCGTGCACGACAGCATTAACGGCGTCCAGTCCGCGCGTTTTAACGCGTTCACGTCGGCCTTACACGCCAGTAAGGTTCGTATTGCTTCCGATTGAGAAAATTGGGCCGCCTCGTGCAGCGGCGTTTTGCAGTCTTTATTTTGAAAGTTGATAGCGGGAGAGTAATGCGTTAGGAGATACTCGATGAACGGGACGTGACCTAAACGTGCAGCGATATGGAGGATGGTGTCGCCGAGTTTCTCGTGTCGTATTTCGCACCAATGCACCTCGGGGTGCTTTTTCTTGAACGTCTCAATTGCGTTGACGTCTCCGATCTGGGAGGCGTGTAGGATTTTGGTTTTTTCTTGAGAAGTTACTGTGCTCATTGATATATGTGATTTACTCTGAGCGGGATCTTATTTGGCTTACATAACCTAACTTAGAACTGTTATTGTCGGCCAAATGGCGAGTAGATTTGATAACCACCTTTCATTGCAACTACAGCATGTCATTTGAACTATTTTTGCTGAAATTCAGGTTTCATTCAATTGATAAATGAACACTTTTAGTTCCAGAAGTACATGTATTGTATCTAGTGAAGGTAGCAGCCAGAAAGTCACAGCAAACAGGCCACTACCCTCAAAACCACGCCCTATTTTGAATAGAAATTCTATTAAATCGGCTGCTACTTTTTGGATGCTAGCTTCACTACATTCCTATATATACAATACAAATTCCTATCAAAATGGCCCTAAAGCTACCGGAGCGATTTATTATGCGAAACACGTATTCGAAATTACTCTCAAAAGTGTTTTCGTATGATAATTAGCTCCTGTACCTTTCGGGCCATTTTTAAACACCTTCCCGACATAGACTTCTCAATTTTTTTGGTTTTTCTAAAAGGGCATGCGTTATCAAAATTGTGTATCAATGGCATCGCGTAACACTCTCGATTAAGGCCGTTTTGAGAGGAATTTCGAGGAAGTCTTTTTGTGTAATAATTCGCTCCTGTACCTTTAGGGCAACTTTTAAACATCTTCCCGACATGGACTTCCCAATTTTTTGGTTTTTCTAAAAGGGCATTACATTATCAAAATTGTGTATCAATGGCATCGCGTAAAACTTTCGTTTAAAGCCGTTTTGAGAGGAATTTCGAATAAGTGGTTTCGTATGATAATTCGCTCCTGTACCTTTAGGGCCATTTTTAAATACCTTCCCAACATAGACTTTCCAAATTTTTTTGTTTTCCTAACAGGGCATTATATTATCAAAATTGTGTATCAATGGCATCGCGTAACACTCTCGTTTAAGGCCGTTTTGAGAGGAATTTCGAATTAGTGGTTTCGTATGATAATTCGCTCCTGTACCTTTCGGGCCATTTTTAAACACCTTCCCGACATAGACTTCCCAATTTTTTTGGTTTTTCTAAAAGGGCATTACATTATCAAAATTGTGTATCAATGGCATCTCGTAACACTCTCGTGTAAGGCCGTTTTGAGAGGAATTTTGAGTAAGTATTTTCGTAAAATAATTCGCTCCTGTACCTTTAGGGCCATTTTGATAGGATTTTGTACTGTATATATAGGAATGTAGTGAAGCTAGCAGCCGATTTAATAGAATTTGTACACTTTAGGGATGTAATGAAGCTAGCTGCCAATAAATAGCAGCTGTTTTAATAGAATTTCTATTCAAAATAAGGCGTGGTTTTCAGGGGAGTGGCCTGTTTGCTGTGACTACACCATTGAGTTAGAAAACTAATGGAGGGAATCAAATGCTTGGCCAGACGTAGACCCATATATATATATGCGTAGACCACGGGAACCAAAAGTGGCCTCTAACAGTGATTAAAGTACCACACCACTTCCGTTATCATTAGCGTCTCACTTCAGTGGCGTAGAGATATAATTTTCTTTCCACTAATAGGAATAATAACAAAAAAAAACGTATAGAAGGAGTAAAATACATGATCGTGGTAAAGTAAACAAAATAGACAAGGATGGGAAAGTATGCAGATTTAATATAATCATTGATTACAAATCTAAATATACATCGATGTGTTCCATTTATAATTAAGGCCAGTTTACTATAGCCACTACAACTTGACAACTCCCATTAAATTCATTGTGTTGATCAATAGCTACAATTGATTGGTTGGTCTCAGGTTCATTACAAGTTTTGATAGTACCTACTCCATATTTGATGAACATTTTCCCGTGCAACCTTTGGTCGAAATCACAGTCAATGAAGCGTTGTGAGCACAAAAGTAAATTTCGAGAGCTGTTCTTGAGATATATTTACAAATGTAATATTACCATTTTGCTCGAAGTACCGGTTCGTTTGGAAAACTACGAAACATAAACTAGGTACCTACAACCTCGCCTACAACATGATAAATGACATGTCTTACCGATGAAAGGAAATGCCCTGTTTCTTCCCTTTATGAGAAATTTTGCATGATACGCAGCTAATCATTCTCAATTCACAAAATTTGGTGTGATAAAAACACTATGCGGCAGTTAGTTATTTATATAAACCAGAGCACAAACCGATCCGAAATTATTAGGTACTTTAAAATGGAAAATTTAATAAAATTTGAATTTGGTGGAAAACTGACAGTGACAGGACCCGCGTTTTCATATGTCAAATAATGTCGGCCAAAATGTACCTTCACGGGAACCTATCCACGCGAGTGGCCTCTATCTGTGGCAACTTCCGTCTACAAAAATTCTTACCCCCTCTACCATTATATTCCCTCCATTAGTTTTCTAACACAATGGACTACACACTGTTCCCACATATTAATTCGGCTTCTATTATCTGGCTGCTACCTTCACTACGAAACCGGAACCTATAATTCAGATGGGTTCCAACCTCTGTGTGGAATAAACATTCAGAAAGGATCCTCGAGAAAAGTCAGTAAAAATCAACTCTTTCGGAAAACCAGCGTGCAGTAAAATTCGTATTCAGGACCATCAAAAAATTATAAAAGCATGAGCAGACTTTTCCAGCTCGATCTGTGAAAAAGTGTAAGAAAAAGTACATCACGCAACCCACAATACATATCAGTATAAAATGAGTATTCATTTTGTTACTGGATTCTAGTGTTATTTTCAGTGTTACGTTACACACGTGTTTTGTTTATTTCGTTAAGTTGGTAACGGTTTAGTTTACACATTTGAAAAAGTCATTGAAAAGTTTGATCGAATTATGGCCGTAAGTAAAATCAATTTATTTGTTTAATTAAAACGAAACCTCTTATTACTTACACCCCCCAATGCATGGCATAATGCAACCCTTACATCTCCAATTCGTCTTCCGTAGATAACCTCACTTTAATTTGAACGCACTTCAGGTATCCGCCGCCGCTAAAGTGCAAGAAGTACGCGAAATCACGCGTATCGAACGCATCGGCGCTCACTCCCACATTCGAGGCCTCGGCCTAGACGACAGTTTAGAAGCTCGCCATGTCTCGCAAGGTATGGTCGGCCAGGTGGCGGCACGACGGGCCGCCGGCATCGTCCTTCAAATGGTACGCGACGGTCGCATCGCCGGGAGGGCGGTCCTGCTTGCGGGACAACCCGGTAAGTAATCGATGCTACGGCACCGATTTATTAACACTGTCACTTAGGAACGGGCAAAACCGCGATCGCAACCGGTCTGGCACAAGCCTTGGGGCACGACACACCGTTCACGAGCATGGCCGGTTCCGAAATATACTCCCTTGAAATGAGCAAGACTGAAGCACTTATTCAGGCAATTCGAAAAAGTATCGGCGTTCGAATAAAGTAAGTGTACAGGGTGCTCCATAAATGCGGTATGAATTCATGCAAAAAAATTTGTCCGTTTTAGGGAAGAGAGTGAGATAATCGAAGGGGAGGTCGTCGAGGTTCAAATCGAGCGGCCCGCATCTGGGGTCGGAACGAAGGTCGGAAAGTTAATCTTGAAGTCGACCGATATGGAGACCGTGTACGACTTGGGCGGAAAAATGATCGATAGCATCTTAAAGGAGAAGGTGCAATCGGGTGATGTCATCACGATCGACAAGGCGACCGGAAAAATCAGTCGACTCGGGCGTTCCTTTACGAGGGCGCGGGATTACGACGCGACTGGTCAACAGACGCGCTTCGTGCAGTGTCCCGAAGGCGAGCTGCAGAAGAGAAAGGAAGTCGTGCACACAGTCACCCTGCACGAGATCGACGTGATTAACAGTCGTACGCACGGCTTTCTCGCTCTTTTCTCGGGGGACACGGGCGAGATTAAGCCGGAGGTGCGCGAGCAGATCAACGGGAAGGTTGCGGAGTGGCGAGAGGAGGGGAAGGCGGAAATAATCCCAGGGGTTCTGTTCATCGACGAGGTGCACATGTTGGACATTGAGTGCTTTTCGTATCTGAATCGCGCGTTGGAGAACGAGATGTCGCCGATCGTTATTATGGCCACGAATCGAGGGATTACGCGAATTCGGGGCACCAACTATCAGTCGCCTCATGGCATTCCTCTCGATCTTTTAGATCGTATGATTATTGTGCCGACTGTTCCGTATGATGAGAAGGAGTTGAAAGAAATTTTAAGGTGAGTTTATTTAATATTTTATTCATATTTTTATTAAATTTTTGGAATGAGAATATAATATGCTATCTTTTTATATTCAAATATACAGGGTGTTCGATAAAAAAAAATGAGGTTACATCTGATTTGATAAATGATTCAGAAATAATTCAAAATGATTTAAAAAACTTCTAAAAAATTATGAGAGGTTGAAATGATTCAAAAAATCCAAAAAAAATTGAAAAATATTTAAATTTTTTAGTGTTTGGCACAACATAGTGTTCCATTTAAAAAAATGAGGTTAGGTGCTTCAAGCACACGTAAAAAATTGAAAAATATTGAATTTTTTTTGAAATTTAATTTATAATTTAAAATATACAGGGTGTTATAGTTCACCCCGTACCCTTTGATAAATGGTTTCAAAAAATTTTAAATCATTAAAAAAGATTAAAAAATTAAAAAAAAAACGTTTCAAATGATTCAAAAAAATACAACTTAATTTATGTTTATTACGTTTTTTATATCTTTTTTGAAATTGAAATTGTTTGATCAATGTTGAATTTTTGCAGTGATATTTTTTGTGAAGAGTATTTAATCTGCTTTCTATTTAGATTCATATATACAGAGTGTCCCATTTAAAAATGAGGTTAGGTGCTTCAAGCACACGTAAAAATGGAAAAATATTGAATTTTTTTGGAAAGAGTTAAATATGCTATCTTTTTAGTTTAAAATATACAGGATGTTGTATTTTAAAAAATGAGGATAGGTGTGATAACTTTTTTTCCTGACCCCGTACCCTTTGATAAATGGTTAAAAAAAATTAAAATCATTAAAAAAGATTAAAAATGAAAACACGTTTCAAATGATTCAAAAAAATACAAAAAATTTAAGTTTATTACGTTTTTTAAATCTTTTGTGAAATTGAAATTGTTGAACAATATTGAACTTTTGTAATGATATTTTTTGTGAAGAGAATTTAATCTGCCTTCTATTTAGATTCATATATACAGAGTGTTCCATTTAAAATTGAGGTTAGGTGCTTCAAGCACCTGTAAAAAATGGAAAAATATTGAATTTTTTTGGAAAGAGTTAAATATGCTATCTTTTTAGTTTAAAATATACAGGATGTTGTATTTTAAAAAATGAGGATAGGTGTGATAACTTTTTTTCCTGACCCCGTACCCTTTGATAAATGGTTAAAAAAAATTAAAATCATTAAAAAAGATTAAAAATGAAAACACGTTTCAAATGATTCAAAAAAATACAAAAAATTTAAGTTTATTGCGTTTTTTAAATCTTTTTTGAAATTGAAATTGTTGAACAATATTAAATCTATTCTATTAAATTCATATATACAGAGTGTTCCATTTAAAAATGAGGTTAGGTGCTTCAAGCACACGTAAAAAATTGAAAAATATTGAATTTTTTGGAAAGAGAGATTAATATGCTATCTTTTTAGTTTAAAATATACAGGGTGTTCAATTTTAAATAATGAGGATAGGCGTAATAACTTTTTTCCTGACCCCGTACCCTTTGATAAATGGTCTGAAAGAAATTAAAATCATTAAAAAAGATTTAAAACAATTAAAAAAGTTTCAAATGATTCAAAAAATTTAAAAATACGAGTTTATTACGTTTTTTAAATCTTTTGAAATTGTTTGAACAATATTTAATTTTTGTAGTAATATTTTTTTTAAAGAGAATTTAATCTGCTATCTTTTTAGATTCATATATACAGTGTTGAATTTAAACATGTGGTTAGGTTTGGTAACTTTTACTTGACTCTGTATACTTATTTTGATAAATACAAACAAAATCATAATATTGGAATTTATTACATTTTTAAAATTTTTTAATGCTCGAATAAATAAATTAAAAATTTTTTTAATTTTTTTTAAAATCCTTTTGAACAATATTGGATTTTGTAGTGTTCCACATGACCTCATATGCTTATTTTGAAAAATCATTAATAAAATTAAAAAATATTAAAATTTACTACATTTTGTAAATCTATTTAATATTTTAGAAAAGTATTGATATTTTGAGTGTTAAATTTTTGGAAAGAGAATATAATATGCTATGTTTTTAGATTAAAATTAACAGGGTGTTCGTTTTAAAAAATGAGGTTAGGATTGATAACTTTTTTACCTGACCCCGTATACTTATTTTGATAAATGATTTAGAAAAAGTTCAAAGCTTCTAAAAATTGAGAGGCTGGAATGATTAAAAAAATCAAAAAAAGTGAAAAATATTTGAATTGTTTAGTGTTTGACCGAGTGTTTGACACATGGTGTTTCATTTAAAAAAAATTGAGGTTAGGTGATTCAAACACGAAAAAAATTTAAAAATATGAGAATAATAATTACATTGTTAAAATTATTTTTTAATCTTTTTGAACAATATTTTCTTGGTGTTGTATCTTTGGAAAAGGAATTTAAAAATGATTCCAAAACACACAAAAAATTAACAAAATTACATTTTTGGGTGTTATTTTTTGGAAAGAGAATGTATCTTTTTAGATTAAAACATACAGGATGTTCCATTAAAAAAAATGATATGTCTTATAACGTTTATCCTGGCCCCGTAGACTTATGGTAAAATATTACATTTGTTGGTGTTATTTTTGGAATAGAAAATGTAATATGCTACAATTTTGGATAAAAACATACAGGGTGTTCCATTGAAAAAAATGATCCTGGCTCCGTAGACTTATGGTAAATGATCCAAAAAGTTTAAAATGGTTAAAAAATATTTTTAAAAATTAAAAAAGGTCAAAATGAGTAAAAAAAATTGAAAAATAAGTGTGTTTATTACATTTGTTTGGAAAAAGAGTTTAATATGCTATCTTTTTAGATTAAAATATTCAGGATGATCTATTTAAAAAAATGAGGTTAGGTCTGATAACTTTTTTACTGATTCAGAAAAATTAAGAAAATTTTAAAAATTTAAAAAAAGTTTAAATGGTATTTGAATTCACTACATCTTTTTGTAATTTTGTAGTAATTGTTAAGGTCCATATTGAAACTGTTGACTGTTCTCTCAATGGGTTTGAATCAGTAACTAGGTAGGAATACTCTTAACCTTTCCCATTCGAAAAGGTTTCGCTCCAAATCGACAGGTCAGTTGGATCTAAAAAACAAATCTGCCCCCTTTTTTAAATGACGTCCGTTCCTTTGATACTTTTAACCTCACTCTACAAAAATCGTTCCTTCATAACTTGCAGTATCCGCTGCGAGGAAGAGGACGTGCAGCTTGAAGACAAAGCCCTGGAGATACTAACGAAAATATGCACGGAAACTTCGTTACGTTACGCGATACAATTGATAACGACGGCCGGACTGATTGCGAGAAAACGCAAGGCCCCAGAGGTGGGCATCGAGGACGTTAAAAAGGCGTACATGCTGTTCTACGATGAGTCACGTTCTATCCAGTATTTGACCGACTATCAGAAGCAGTTTATGTTTGATCACGGCGGTAGGTAGCTATCTGAGACTATTAGTTAATGATATTATTCTTTCCTGTAGATGATGCGGCGTCAATGGATACGACGTGAGATACAGTTCTTCCCTTGCAACTTTAGTGTTAATTTTGTTTAAGCAATTTGTGTTTAAATTCGTATTATAACGTTTCGTACAAATGACTTTTTATTCCATGTCGATATTGTTTCATGTAATTTGTGTAATCAGGATTTGAAATAAACAGTTAATACCGTACTAAAGCTGCGCCGCCTCACCTCACTACATTGCAGGACTCTAGCAGCTTGCGATCTTAACATGTTTGACATCTGGACCAGAAAAACCATAACCACCAGATACACTCTGTCAAATTCACCTCATCGATTACAATTGAGCTCGAAATTTAGCCATATTCAATCTACGGGTGCAAAAGTATAAAAACTCCGAATTATACCCTTAAAGGCACGGTAATGAGCTGGACATACAAATGCAGCAAAATTTTTTTTGCTTATTTACTCAAGGTGCCAGGTCAGTTCAACCTATTAGTTGACGTGTAGGGTCAATAGTTGATTGGCGGTGGCACGTCACTGTATTTTCGCGCGCGGATTGGAGTGGTTACGTGTGTATCGTACTAAGTTCAAGACCTTTTGCAGACACATCACATCACATCACCACTTTCAGACTTCCTCTATTTTCGAGACCACGTCGCTTTTCAGGACTGAGACTTGCTTCTGCACGGTCTGAGTTGGCACGGATGTTGCAACTGGGTCCGTTACAATCCCCTCGGGTCAGTTCGCTTCTCCTTGGGCTAAAAAAGGTTGGTTTCTGGAGACCATGCGGTGACTATAGACGGCTGGACGCATCAACAATCACGGATGTGTATCCGCTCCCATACATGCAAGATGTTTCTGGACAAATGCAACATATTTTCGAAATTAGACATCAGGCATCTGTCGAACTCTGCACATGCTCTCATGTTTTTGTACGTATGGAAGGTATGAAGACGTCGGTGCAACATTCATACGAAGCGTTTATGACACTGATGTATCTACGATACCACCATTCAAATCCAGCATCATCCAGTCAGCTAGAAACGAGATCAGATTCAACGAATTTGCTACCGCTACGCTGTAGGGGGAGTACTGTGGCGACCGCGCGACAGCACTCCATATATTCCGAAATAACGTCGCCTGATTGGTCCACGCGGTTTGACGTGCGAGCCCGACCGTTTAAATACCGGTCACGGGGCCGCAACAATTCCGAGCTGGGGCTCAATCCATACAAACACCTCTGAAACCAGACTCGTCAACCACGTGACTGGTAAGAACTGCGACATTATTGGGCCAGAAAGCTATACCGCTGATACCAATCAAGATCCGGACGTCCTGGACGTGACGTTACTGCAGACGTCATACAAGACCTGACGTCTGACAATCTGCCGGTTCTTCGGACCCTCAGTAGTGGCAGGTCCGCAAACTAAGAGCAGAACGAATTGGAAAAAAATTAACGCGCATCTACAGCATCGGCAACCCTATCATACGAAATGTTGCCTAACCCGACGAGTGCACTCCAAAATGCCCTACAAGGAAATAGAGGCAACTTCCGAGAGGAGATAAAAGCCAAGCGACGCCTCATACGAAGATGGCTACTGTCAAGTCGCCCTAAAAACTGCGAGTTTGTAGAACGGAAGGTGGACGAAAAGGGCCATGTCACCAAATCCCCAAAGCACAGAGAGGTTTCACTCTGTATATACAACTTACGACGATGTACACATTTTTGAGAGTCGGTAACCACGCAAATTTTAGAAAGGGAACAACTGTCTGCGCCATCTGAAGAGCACGAAAGTTGAGTGCGTTTGGCACATTGTTTTTAATGGTGGTCATGCAGGCATCGATCGTGATAGTTTGTTGTTATTTTTGTGTTATTTAATGCATCTTTGCATTTCTTTATATCGTATTTGTGTTTTGTATGCAGCATTTTATATTTGTCTGAGTTTCAATCTTTGTTTTTGAAATTGACTTGATTTAACCTTAATGCAGACTCGCATATTTGATACCGTTATCCTATTGTTTGTGATCGTTTTATTTTTTTGGTGTAATGCTTGCTTAATTTATGTTTGTTGATGTTGATTACCTGGGCTTGTCCCTGAAGTAACATAAATATACCTACATTTTGATTTTTCTTTAAATATGTGGAGATTATCGATTCGTTTGATGTATGTACTGACTTAAACATTTTCTCCGTGAATGAAGCAGTCACGGGGTTGGTTGGAGCTGCGACACATAATTCGAAACTGTCTTCGACATTCAACTGTAGGCTCGCGATACCCTGAAACCAGGGGCGAGTTGTCTATCTTGGGGGCAAGATTATGCTAATCAAAACTCTTCGGTTTAGAATCTATGTGTGATATATGCGTTGCGATTCGGTAGTTTCCACATATTTTTGCCGATAGTTGAATTTGCCTACATGTAATTTTTCATCTTGCTTTTAACAAAATAACTTTATTGCAGAGAGAGACACCTTTTGGCTTTGCATACATTAATGTACGTCAACTAAACTTCCCGGCTTTCACAATCTTAATAATGACGATTATTAAACCCACTTTTCACAGTTTCAGTTGTTTTATTTTAAATTTAAGCGGGATCTTGTTTATTTTTGGAGGGAATAGTCGTTCGGGTGGCCAGTTTTAAACGTTGCCGGGTTAACTTTATTTCCGTGTTCTTGTAGTGTGAAGTTAGCGTAGAACTTGGAGGTTAAGTACATTACAGTGTTTTTGAACACATCGTTATATCTAGAAACGCTACGGCCCCCCCCCTCTCTTTCCCTCACTAGCCAGCACACGAAGCTCTAAAGAGCAGCCTCCGTAGTCTTAATTTATAAGTTCGTGCTCGGTAGCCATACCAACCTTGTAAACAGCCCCATCTTCTAAAAATCGCGCGGTTGCCAGTTCTCAAAAATGTTCGCATCGTCGTAGGTTGTATATACAGGGTATTCCACATTTAAAACTATTGAGGTACTCCAGAACGACCAAAAATATAATCAGAACTACCAAAAATCTATCGTATTATTATTATTATTTAACATCCTTTTAGACTCTTTAAGATGCTTCAAATGCCCTTTAAGAATCGCCAGTGTCCTTTATAAGCTTTTCAAAGTCTCTCAAAGAGTTAGAGCTGTTGAATACCTTCAAGTGTTCCAAAGACTTTCCTATCGTGAGGTACGCGTCTGCTTGAACCGTATGCTGTCAGAATCTGTGTCTCGAATTTTGTGTTTTGCATTCAGAGATTGTTAGCTATGAGTTTTTTTGTCTTAAGTGACCAGTCTTGAGCGCAAAGCCTAAATTTTGAGTTCTGCTGGAGTCTGAAGGTTTTTTTAAAATATTTTTTATGATGTGACGTTTAACGGGCTGACGGTCACAGAGAATGAACATGCACAATAAACCCATACCTGAGTTGTATTCTAATTGGAAATACGAAGCCTTGACGGAATTCTCACGTAAGTGATAACTGATAAACAATAGGATATAATTGCGGAAGAACAAGGAAGACACGTTTTTACGCAGACTAAAAATAGAAGATGTGCGGATAATTGTACTTACCTGAGGTGAGAGCAATATAATATAATTATATTAATTGCGCCTTTGTTCAAGAACACGATCAAGACCAAAATGGTTACCTGGTGCCCAACGTGAAGGTGACATAGTAATTTTCTCCTTGGTGGTAGTTGACTTAGTGTTTTGAGGGGCCAAACGCATAGGTATCTCTTTCGCAGAAATGCTGACGGCGATTCAGAAGTTTTACGCCAATTCAACCATTTTGGTCACCGGCGCAACGGGATATCTAGGCACCTACTTCGTCGAGAAGTTGCTCAGATCGTGCCCCGACGTTAAGAAGGTCTACCTGCTGGTTCGAAAAAAACGCGGCAGGCCGAACGAGGATCGACTCGTCGAGTTTTTCGAAAGTCCGGTAATTTTACAAAGTTTGGTTAGGTACCTACGCCCTAACCTCGAGCGTCTAGGTTTACAACGCTCTGAAGCGGAGCAATCCTCGAGCTTTCCAAACGGTGGAAGTTCTGTCCGGCGATCTGGAGTTGGAGGAGTTGGGTTTGGGCGATGGCGATCAGGAAAAGGTGGCAAACGAGGTGAACAGCGTGTTCCACGTCGGCGCCACCATAAACATGGCGGAAACTCTTCGAATGTCAACCTTGGTAAATATCAGAGGAACTAGAGACCTTTTAAGCATTTGTGCCAGAGCGCAGCACCTGAAGGTTGTGTCGCTGATGGCGATTCGTCACTGAATATGAACTGTTACAGTCGTTTGTCTATGTCTCCACTGCCTACTCCCAGTTACAACTGCATGAAATTGATGAAATCATCCCCCCAAGCGCCGAAGATGCCGATAACTTGATAGCGATAGCAAGCTCTAGGGACCAACGACAATTACACAATGCTACGCTCAGGTAAACTGTTCTAGTAGATATACTAGATACCGAACCTGGCTCAGGTCAAGGTCACTCGCCCCCAGGTTAAGGTGACTTTGGAAATTAGGTCAAGATAAAGCTTAAAGGGCAAGCGTAGTGATTGTATATTTCATTTTTGGGGTGTCAAATTACATTTAAATGTTATACGAGGTCGTTGACCTCATAAATTGCAAGGTCATCAGAGGTCATTGGCCCCTTTTTTGTAGTATATTACATTCAATGTCATCGGTGGTCATTGAGCTCATTTTTGTAGTATATTACATTCAATGTCATCGGTGGTCATAAAATTTCAAAGTCATCCGAGGATATTGACCCCCATTTTTTGGGGTGTCAAAAATATCAGCAGAGATCATTGACCCCATAAATTGCAAGGTCATCCGTGGTCATTGAGCCCATTTTGTAGTATATTACATTCAATGTCATCGGTGGTCATAAAATTTCAGTCATCCGAGGATATTGACCCCCATTTTTTGGGGTGTCAAAAATATCAGCAGAGATCATTGACCCCATAAATTGCAAGGTCATCCGAGGTCATTGAGCTCATTTTTGTAGTATATTACATTCAATGTCATCGGTGGTCATAAAATTTCAAAGTCATCCGAGGATATTGACCCCCATTTTTTGGGGTGTCAAAAATATCAGCAGAGATCATTGACCCCATAAATTGCAAGGTCATCCGTGGTCATTGAGCCCATTTTGTAGTATATTACATTCAATGTCATCGGTGGTCATAAAATTTCAGTCATCCGAGGATATTGACCCCCATTTTTTGGGGTGTC